TCAGGCAAGCTTTAATAAATCATAAATAATATATGACCACATCAATCAGGTGTTTGCCCTGATATCTGACTCCTGGGGTTTTGTTGATAAAAGAATAAGAAGATAAATACTTCACCAATGTGGGGCCATGAGATACAAGGCAGCTGCTCTCGGCTGACTTTGCAGCCACTAGAGTTGCCACCGTAGCTGGCTTTCCCTCCATATCCTCAGGTCCTCCATGTGAGTCTGAGGGTTTCCCGTTACAGCCCCTCTACATCAGCCTCCAGCTGCTGCCCATCCTTGATCCCAAATGCCACCAGAGTTAGCCTCCCACCACCAGCCAGCTCTGTCCTTAACTTTCTGCCATGCAGACTTCTGAACATACTCTGCATCCTGTAGAAACTACTTGGTGAGACCAGAAATATGGAAGCGTAAAGAGTTTACATGGGAAGCGCAGCCACAACAGGGTTAGATCTTGGATTCTACTTAGATTTACTTCTAGAGTTTATGATCTCGACCACTAGGCTCTACTGGCATTTATAGAACCTAGCCTGTGGTAAGCTATCCTAGACCCAGCATTCACCAGTCCCTCTAAATGACCGTTATGAGGACCTCAAAGAAGAGAGGGACAAGTGTGTCTACCACAGGGTGTCCAACCTGCATAGCCACCTATAACTTGGTATCTAATCTGCATAGCCACCCATAACTTGGTGTCTAACCTGCATAGCCACCTATAATTTGGTGTCTAATCTGCATAGCCACCTGTAACTTGGTATCTAACCTGCATAGCCACCTGTAACTTGATGTCTAACCTGCATAGCCACCTGTAACTTGGTGTCTAACCTGCATAGCCACCTGTAACTTGGTGTCTAATCTGCATAGCCACCTGTAACTTGGTATCTAACCTGCATAGCCACCTGTAACTTGGTGTCCAATCTGCATAGCCACCTGTCACTTGGTGTCTAATCTGCATAGCCACCTGTAACTTGGTATCTAACCTGCATAGCCACCTGTAACTTGGTGTCCAATCTGCATAGCCACCTGTCACTTGGTGTCTAATCTGCATAGCCACCTGTAACTTGGTATCTAACCTGCATAGCCACCTGTAACTTGGTGTCCAATCTGCATAGCCACCTGTCACTTGGTGTCTAATCTGCATAGCCACCTGTAACTTGGTATCTAACCTGCATAGCCACCTGTAACTTGGTGTCCAATCTGCATAGCCACCTGTCACTTGGTGTCTAATCTGCATAGCCACCTGTAACTTGGTATCTAACCTGCATAGCCACCTGTAACTTGGTGTCCAATCTGCATAGCCACCTGTCACTTGGTGTCTAATCTGCATAGCCACCTGTAACTTGGTATCTAACCTGCATAGCCACCTGTAACTTGGTGTCCAATCTGCATAGCCACCTGTCACTTGGTGTCTAATCTGCATAGCCACCTGTAACTTGGTATCTAACCTGCATAGCCACCTGTAACTTGGTGTCCAATCTGCATAGCCACCTGTCACTTGGTGTCTAATCTGCATAGCCACCTGTAACTTGGTATCCAACCTGCATAGCCACCTATAACTTGGTGTCTAATCTGCATAGCCACCTGTAACTTGGTATCCAACCTGCATAGCCACCTATAACTTGGTGTCTAATCTGCATAGCCACCTGTAACTTGGTGTCCAATCTGCATAGCCACCTGTAACTTGGTGTCCAATCTGCATAGCCACCTATAACTTGGTGTCTAATCTGCATAGCCACCTATAACTTGGTGTCTAACCTGCATAGCCACCTATAACTTGGTATCCAATCTGCATAGCCACACATATTGACCTCCCAGCCACTTCCCCTTGCCTTGCCACACTTATCCTTCTCTGTCTACTCCCCATGTCCCTCCCACCCCTGCTTTCCGGCCTTCTCCCTCACCTTGCCCCAACCTCTTCCTTCACCCCTTTACGTTTTCAAGCCCTGACTTTTTAAGTAACTGCATCTGTTGGCGTTTGTGATCTGTGTACTGTGAACATGGCTGGGATCTCCACAGGCAGTGACTCTGGTGGTTTGTCTTGTGATTTTCCAGTGTGCTCTGCATCTATTATAAACTGTACTGAGAATTTTGAAGCTTGGTTCTTGCTCAGGATAGTAGAATGCACAAGGCTCTCAGAGTACTGGACAGCTTCCAGTTAGCCCACAGTCACAAAGGAAGCAGCAAGCATACTACAGTGAACCTGCTGCCAGCATTCTTTCTTCTCCCCTTTTCATGTGTGGGTGTGGTGTGGTGCTCATTCACATGTGTGCCTGTGGGTGCATACACATAGAGGCCTGGGATTAATATCAGAAATCACCTTCTGATGGGGGGGGGGCTGTCCTGTGACTATGTTTCTCTTATTGGTTGATGAATAAAGCATTGTTTGGATAGTGGCCAGGCAGGAAGGATAGGCGGGGCTACCAGACAAGGAGAATTCTGGGAAGTGTAGGCAGAGAGGAGTCCTCGTGTGAGTCTGGCAAGAGAGGACACAAGTCAGGCCATTCTCCAGTAAGATAAGGCCATGTAGAAATACATAGATTAGTAGTTATGGGTTAATAATTAAGACAGAGCTAGCCAATAAGAAGCCCAAACCACAGGCCAACAGTTTCATAATTAATATAGTATCTGTGTGTTTATGTGGGGCTCCAAGGTGGTGGGACCCTGGCCAGGTCAGAAAACTCATGCTTACAACCTTCTATCTTTCTTTTCTTTTCTTTTCTTTTCTTTTCTTTTTTTTTCCCGAGACAGGGTTCCTCTGTGTAGCTTTGGAGCCTATCCTGGCACTCGCTCTGGAGACCAGGCTGGCCTCAAACTCACAGAGATCCACCTGCCTCTGCCTCCCAAGTACTGGGATTAAAGGCGTGCGCCACCAACGCCAGGCATAAACCTTCCATCTTTCTTCCACCATATTTATTAGAGGTTCTCTCCATCAAACCTAGAGGTCACCAACATGGCTAATCTTGATAGCCAGCTGGCTCTAAAGATCCTCTCTCCACCTTCTAAGTCTGGAACTACATGGGGATACCACGACATCCAGCATTTAAATGGGCTCTGGGGTTCCAAGCGTTAGTCCTCATACTTGCATGGCAAATGCTTAAGCACTAAGCCATCTCTCCTGAGATCATAGCTTGAGACATTTGTCAAGAGATGCTCAGGGCATCTAACATAGTCCAGTGACATTAGCTCTGTTCTGAGGTGCCTAAGTCAAATGCGTGGCCCTTTTTATCTACACCCTGCCATTGTCACAGCAGTGGAGCCCCAAGCCTTCATGCCTCCCCCCTTGACTCTGTTGTCCCAGTAAGAGCAAATCTTTTCCAGTCAGTTTCAGAAGAAATTCCTCAGGAACATTAGGCATCCTTCTATCTCCAGCCTGGGCTCCCTTTCATTTACACTTGACTGTAGCCACGCCCTTCTTCCCTCTGCAGTAGCCATGTCCACTTCCCTCTGTGATCCCTTTTCTTCACTGGGCTCTTCCCAGACCAAACAGCTGCAATGTGGCTACCTAGCCGGGAACCCCAGTTTTGGTGACACTAATGTCTGAGAAGCTCTCTCACTGCCCCCCCACCCCCCAGTGCTTAAAGATGCTGTGTGCCTCCTGCGTGGGAATGTGGTGTGTTTCCATCCTGTCCTTCTTCCTGTTTCTTTTTGGTCTTATCTCCCACCCTGCATCTGCCCCAGAGTCTCCAATAACTTAGCAGTAACTGCCCACTCCCTCGTACCCCTCACACCTGACAACCCATCCAATGCTACCGTTCATCACAGGTCACCTGCTCACAGGTACAGAGCTGGAGAGCTTCCTAGACTCAAGCATGAATCTGTACCCTCGTGCATCATGAAGGGGCAGGAAGTAATTTGGAGCTAGACTTTCTGATCTCACTGTCCTGCAATGCTCTGACCAGAGGAGATGCCACTTCCCTACTGGCAATGCAGGCTTGGGACCAGGTGATAGTGAAACAGGCTTTGTCTTGTCCCCTCAGCCATTAACAGTTCACATATTGGGGTCAGGGAAGATGCTGGATCCATGAATGAAGTACATGCTGTGTAAACCTGACGACTTGAGTTCAGTGCCCCAATATCCAGGTAAAAATCTGGGCGCCACAGCAGATGCCAGTAATGCAAGTTCTGAGGAGGAGGAGATATGAGGATCATCGGGGCTCTCTGGTCAACCAGCCCAGGATCAGTCAAGGACCTTTTTTCAAAAAGTAAGGAGAGTACCATTGACCTCTGGATGCATACACACACACATGCACACTCACACGCATGCACACTCATGCACACTCACACACATGCATACTCACACATGCACACTCACACATGCACACTCACACATGTACACTCACACATGCACACTCACACATACACACACATGCACACTCACACATATGTACACTCACACACATGCATACTCACAATGCACACTCACACACATATGCACACTCACATACACATTTGTCGCAGAAATTCTTTTAGACAATAGTCTTTGAGGTACTGGCCCCTTCTGGGTGGGGTCTCAGAGGCCGCGTGTAGACTGGGAAAAGCTGATGCTCTCTTGGGGGTGGTCAGAAGGGGATGGCAGCATCCAGGGGCTAAGGACAGAAGACCTCGGTGGTTCTCTACCTTGCTTTGTCATTTGTGAGTGATTCCCCATTAATACCTGACTTCCCTTTATCTGAGCTTTCATGGACTCTATTACAATTGTCCATCACCCACACATGTTCACACACACACACACACACACACACACACACACACACACAAAGAGTTCACACACCATCAGGGTTTATTTAGCTTAATATGTAATGGCAGCAGAACCAGCACCAAGAAGTGGCAGGCAGAGTTCTTCCCCAAACACCTCAATCACATCTGAGCACCACTTCCTATGTCCTCCAAGCCAAGGTCCGGTCCCCAAGTTACCATTTGCTCACATACTCTGGGTCTATTGGATGGCTGCAGAGAATGATGCCCCAAGGGTGATCCCCAGAGTATAAAAGAAGGTGTATTAGTTAGCTGGGTGGAGTTTGACTGTTTGGTAGACCCCCAGCAGCCTCACAGGAGGCTCCTTCATCTTTGTCTCCTCCTGGGAAGACAACTGTGGCATATGTCACATGCTTGGATGACACCAGAACCTTAGGAGGCAGAGGGGGCTGTAGGGGTGGGGCCGGGGGTTTCCTTGATGGAGGATCAAGAGGAAAGCCCGGGTAGGTGGTGTCAAAGGAAGGTGGTGAGTCTAGCCTCACGTATGGTACGTCCGTGGGCAGCCCAGCAGCCAGTCCAGAGTCACTGCTGTAGTGGGCTGCTGAGGAGGGTTCCTGGAATAAAAGCAGGCAAGTCACACAAAGGCACTCTGAGAGAGTTCCCTCTGATGGGAACCCAGAGACCATATGGACGTACTGTAACGATCCCAGTATGTCAAAGGGACAAGAGGGCATTCCAGGGATGGTAGTGCCCAGGCACACACACACACACACACAAACATTTAATCCCAGAACTCAAGAGTTCAAGTTCAGCCTGGTCTACATAGTGAGTTCCAGTACCTAGTGAGATCCTGCCTGAAAAACAAAACAACATCAACAAAAATCTGGGAGTCATGGTGCACACTTTTAACCCCAGCACTAAGGAAGCAGAGGCAGGTGGATCTCTGTGAGTTTGAGGCCAGCCTGGTTTACATAGTGAGTTGTAGGCCAGCCAAATATAAAGAGACAGTGTCTCATTAAAAAAAAAAAAGTAGAGTGGGGTGCTTAGAAGATGTCCTAAGCCCCCAGGTACTCTAGATATAGGAAGGTGAGGGTCTGGACCACAATGAGGGTCTTTTCTCTACCTATTCTAATGTGATGGGGGAGGGGCACCTGCAGAGGTCTCTTACCATGCCTGAAGCTCCACTGCTCTGGAACTGGCCACAGACACCAAGCCTGCTCCCTGGCAACAGAGAACAGCAATCCTATTGCTTGCAGTGTGGCTCCAAGCATCCCAAAGCCTCCCAAACCTTTGTTAGTGCGGACCTACTTTGTGCTCTTCCGTCTCTAAGCCCAACCCCTCCACCTCTGCACCCCCAAGCCTGCCTTGCTTCCCTGCTGCTTTCTGCTCCTCCAGCTGCCTCAGCACTAAACCTACCCCTGGAGCTCTTTCCTTCTTCCATCCTTTCTCCTCAGGGCCCACTTCCTCCAGCCTGCCATAACCTGAGCGTCCCATCAGCCACTGGAATTCTAGCAGTTAGGGACTCTGCTAAAGAATGGCAGGATTTTTCATGTGGAGTCTCTTGGCCTTGTATTCAGAACTGAGCATCAGAGGAGGTACATACCTTTCCTTCGGGCCATCACAGCAAACAGCACCACCGCCACCACCAGCAGGCCCAGCAGGAGCACAGCACCCCAGATCAGCTGGATTCTGAGAGACAGAAAGGGATAGTCTGGTTTAGCACTGAGGCCTGAGGAGAGCTGCAGACCAAGAGCCCTGGAGTAGTGGGAGATACTGCCACTTTCTTTGGGAAAGATGGAATGGGAAGAGGATGAGGCAGGCCCAGATGGGGGAGAGGAGAGGCACGGTTTCATAGTGTCTTTGTTGGAGATGTACCAGAGAGAAGGGACAGATAATGAAATGGATAGGGGTCGGTCTGTCTGCTGCTGAGATGTTCCCCATCAGTGGAATGAGTTAGCAGTGTATTTGATTTGAGATGATTTTAAAAATTTGTGTGTGTGAGAGAGAGCATATATGCACATGCGTGCAAAAAGACTCCATAGGCCTAAAGAGAGCTTCCGATCCCCTGGAGCTGGAATGACAGGCTATTGGGAACTGCTGGGCCTGGATTCTGCCCTCTGTAAGAACAAGTACTCTTGACTGCTGAGCCATCTCTCCAGCCCTCCATCTGATTCAGTCCACAGCTCAGTTTCCCAGGCCTCCCACACCACTGTTTCCAGCACCTGTTCTCATGCCTTCGGAACTCGGGAGGACTAACACTTCCCACAGCGTCCAAGGAGGGCTCCTTTGGCAGACTTCCGGTTCTAGAGCTCTCCGTCTTGTCCTCTACTTCCTTCTCCTCTCCTGGGCCAGGAACTGAGCCAGAAGGAAACATGTAGTGAGGGCACAGCCATTGTAGAACAGCTTTCATGGCCTGTCAAGATCTGCAGAGCTGAGGAAATGAAGCTAAGGAAAGTGAGACCACTGAGGATGACAGACACACTGGGAACAGCCCTTCCTTCATTATATGCATTGGGAAATGGCTTCCACTCTGCATCTCTGCCTGGCTGTGAACATAGCCAGTTCCCCTCTGCCACCAGCTCCCACCCACGGAGCCCCCTGCATTTCTTCATCTCTGCCAGCTTCAGCCACACCCTAGAATGTCTCCAGGTCTCTCAGACTATGCCCCACCATCACTGTATGGTCTGCTTGTATCTCCTGACCATCCCAGAGTAGATTATCGTTTTGTTAATCTCAGTACCAACCTTGTTCTTGGCTCTCACACATCTTCAGTGAGGTCCTCTTCCCATGTACCTGTAGCCCTGTGGCCCCACATTCAGGCTGATTAGGATCCCATCCCAAGCTCTGCCTCTGCGATTTACGGGGACTCTGGCTTAGTACTAATGGGGGGAAACACTCACTGACCTTTTTGAGAGCCCAGCTAGTACCTAGACTTCAATGTGATGAGGCTTCTGTCATTTCTACAGTGGACTTAACTTGACTGCAGGACTTAGGTGTGTCACTGGGGGTGGGTTTTGAGGCTTCAAAAGTCCATGCCATCCTCACTCTCTCTGCCTTGTGTTTGTATAAACTCTCAGCTACTTCTCCAGTGCTGTGCCTGCCTACCTGCTGCCAAGCTCCCGCCATGACAGTCATGGACTCTGTCTGAAATTGTAAGCCCCCAATCAACTCTTCCTTCTGTAAGCTGGTGTCTTATCACACCAATAGAAAACCAAGAAAGCTGCTCTCTGAAACTGAATGCTTGCCTGAGGGACAGGCCATCCGTTTCCTGGACACCATGCTCTATGGGGTGGGTGCTGCATATCCTCTATGTAGCACCTACCCCACAGCAATGGGAAGAGCTCCAGGCACCTGCTGTCTCTTCCCTTTTTCCATCTTCCCAGCCAGACGTGTCTTGTTGCAATCTGTCTTTTAGGGAGTTAGAGCCCGGAGTTTCCCCAGGCGTAGTGGAGCACACCTGTAGGCTAGGAAGCGTTTGGGAGGCTTAGGATCTTTTCAAGTTTGAGGCCCTCATGGTCTATGGTGTGAGTTCCAGGTTAGCCAGGGTTACATAGACCATGTCCCCACTGAAGTGTCTCAGTGGGTATAGGGCCTATCATGGAAGCATGAAGATCTGAGCTTGATCATTAGCCAGGCACAGAGTGAGTGTTTGTAACCCCAGCACTGGGGACAGGGTATGGGGACAGGAGCATCCCTGTAACTCATTGATCAGCTAGCCTAGCACAGATCTGGGTTCACTGAGAGACCCTGTCTCCAAAAATAAGGTGGAGTGTAAGACACCTGCCATTGACCTTTGTCCTCCACATGCACGCACGCACGCACATACACACAGCAACATCTGTGTGGACCACGGGTGCACCAAAAAGAGAAAAAGCGGAAACAAGACCAAACTCGGAGTTATGAGACCTCAGCACATCAGGGATGAGGAACCCTGGGAAGGACTCATGTTGGCCGGCATCTGCTTACTGTGTGAAATAATAGCCATGAACCAGCAAGATGGCTCAGCAAGTAAAGGGGCTTGCTGCCATGACTGACGACCAAGTTTGATACCCAGAACCCACACGGTGAAGGAGAGAATGACTCTCATCAATTGTCCTCTGACCTCTACACGTGCACTGTGACATGCCCAAGCACACACACAATAAGAAATGAACGCAAAGTTTTAAATAAGAGTTGTGGTTTGACATGAGGGAAATCCAGTGACAATCCAATCAACTCCTCTTACGTATCCAGGAAAACCAAAGGGATGAGAACGACTTTAATTTTGTCATCAGGGGATCAGACACAAGTTACAGCTCACCAAAGATGAAAGCCACCAGCCTGCCATTTCCAGCATTCTCTCTCCAGAGCAGGCTTTTGTAGCACCAGTTTTGTTAATTAATTTTTATTATTTATTTTATGTGCATGCATGTTTTGTCTGCATATGTGGGCACACTATGTGTGTGCCTGGTGCCCAAGGAGGCCAGGACATCAGATCCCCTGGAACTGGAGTTTCAGGAGGTTGTGAGCTGCCATGTGAGTGCTAGGAATTGAACCTGAGTCCTCTGAAAGAGCAGCTAGTGCTTTTAACCTCTGAGCCACCTCTCCAGACTTCTAGCACCCTATTTTTAAATTACATTTTTACTTTAATAAAAAGTAAAAGATGCCTAGAAAGATGTGACCTGTGAGAATAAAACCTGCAAAAGCAATGTGCTTTCTTAATTAAGATTTCCCAGGGAGTTAAACATTAATATGCTTAATATTAATGGATAAATAGCAGGTTTAAATATGTTTAAACTTTTAATTTAATTTTTTTTTTTTTTTTTTTTTTTTTTTTTTTTTTTTTTTTTAGAAATCGCCTGCCCCAATTTAAAACTGAGTGGAATCAGGCACAGCATTGCACACCTATAATCCCCATATTCAACTGAAGCAGGAAGAACATGAGTTTGAGGCCAACCTAGGCTACATAAATGGGTCCCAAACAAGTCTGGGCTATAGAGTGAGATTTCTAAAAAAGCAAACAAATCCTGCATAGGTTAAAGTCCAATCCAGGAACCACAGGATTCCATCTATAGGTCATGATTTCACTAAATACTCAGAGAAGACTCATAAACTCTGTAAGATAAACTTTAAATCGTCAAAGGAAGGCAGGGCTGAGGAAATGACTCAGTGGGCAAGCATGAGATCCTGAGTTCAAATCCCCAATACTGATGTAAAAATGCTGGATGTGGAACTCCAGTGCTGGGGACTAAAGAGAGACCAATTCCTATCCGTCCAGCCAGTCTATCCAAAATGGTGAGCTTCAGTTTGAGTGAGAGACCCTGTCTCAAAGTAATAAGGGGGAGAATGATAGAACTGGACATTCTATGGGGCTGTACAGATGGTACATGTTCACATACACCACACACTCGTGTATACACAATACACCCACAAACTCATGTATGCACAATACACCACACACTCATGTATACACTATACACCACACACTCGTGTATGCACAATACACCACACACTCATGTATGCACAATACACCACACACTGTGTATGCACAATACACCCACATACTCATGTATGCACAATACACCACCACTCATGTATACACTATACACCCACACACTCATGTATACACAATACACACACACATGTATACACAATACACCCACAAACTCATGTATGCACAATACACCACACACTCATGTATACACTATACACCACACACTCGTGTATGCACAATACACCACACACTCATGTATACACTATACACCACACACTCGTGTATGCACAATACACCACACACTCATGTATACACTATACACCACACACTCGTGTATGCACAATACACCACACACTCATGTATACACTATACACCACACACTCGTGTATGCACAATACACCACACACTCATGTATACACTATCACCCACATACTCATGTATGCACAATACACCACACACTCATGTATACACAATACACACACACATGTATACACAATATACCCACAAACTCGTGTATGCACATACATACACACACTCGTGTATACACAATACACCACACACTCATGTATACACTATACACCCACACACTCATGTATACACAATACACCCACACACTCGTGTACACACACACATGTATACACAATGTACCCACACACTCATGTATACTCACATACACCCACACACTCATGTATGCACAATACACCCACAACTCATGTACACACACACACATGTATACACAATACACCCACATACTCATGTACACACACACACTTGTGCACACACACACACTCATGTATACACACATACACCCACATACTCACATACACCCACACACTCATGTACATACACACACACTGAAAGACACAAAAATTAATTTCTGCTAATGTGCTTGAAATTCACATAAAGTAAAAGAAAGATAGTATCAAGTTTGGTAGAGCTGGAGGAAGACACAAGGGCCACAGAGATGCTGTGACAGAACACAAGGGCCACAGAGATGCTGTGACTGACAGGAAGCCACTGTGAGGGAGGAGGCTGCCCGCTTAGCGGTTTATCTTCAGCTTCCCAAACAGTTCCGTTGCCGCTCAGAGCTGTCAAAAGGATCTCTCTCCCCAATGCTCCATACCTCAAGTCCCCAAGAGTGCCCCCCACAGGTCATCTTCTGTCTACACTCACCTGGCGGAAGCACCAACAGGGAGACCCTGTGCAGGGTCTGGGGCCCCTCGGCTCCCTCCACCACACAGCCATACTCCCCTGTGTCCTCCTCCTGCAGGGTCACCATTTCCACCTGTAGGAGCCCCCCACCCAGGTCAGTGAGGAATACGCGCCCATTTTCTGGGTCTCTTCGGTCCACAGCTGAGGTCACCAATGGCTGGCAGCCTTCCTGCAAGAACCGGCACCACACCTTTCGTGCCCTCACATCCTGGAGCCGGTAGTGGCACTGCACCTGAATGAATGACCCCACGGGTGCCTGTAGCACCTCGGGATGGTTGTCAGCTGAGCCCTGACCTGGGGAAGGAAGAGAGGTGGGGGTGAGGGTTGGATAGAAGCAGGAATGGCTCCTAGCCCACCCTCTGTCATAGAGACGTGGGGATCAGGGGGCAGCGGCGGCATCTGGGGAAGGAGGTGTGGCTCCATCTGCACCTTACCTGCCAGTCCCAGGAGCAGCAGCAGCAGCAGTTGCAGGTAGCAGCCCATGGCTGGCAGATGGCAGTTCTGAGTGGCCTCTTCAGGGACACTGCAGGCCCCTGGGGGCAGGAAACATCTGTCTCATACGGTCACGTGGGCTCCTCAGGGGCCCACAGAGTTAGACCGGTGGGAATCTCCAGGGTTGGGGGCAGGGAGCTTCTCAGGGCTTGCTTGGCTCAGGGCTCAGAGACTCTGAGAGACTGGTAGAAGAGTGTGAGAGAGGTTGAAGAAGAGGGCCTGACTCCCCGCCAAAGGGAATGGTCAGAGGACCCAGCTCCCAGAGGGCAGGAGAAATAAGGATAATCTTCCCTCTCCCAAATATAGATATGCAGAAACAGCTACGAGGAAGGAAAGCTAGGTCCCTCCATGTGGTCCGAGGCCATCTGATTCTCAAGTCTTTATGAATGACACCCCCATCCTGGCTCCACACACACATGCCACCCCAGCTCCCATGAGACCTTCACTCCATCACTACAACCTCTTGGCTGGAAACCCACTGGGCCCGCCTTTGCCTTGCCCTACTTAGACTCCCTGGAGCCTTTCTTTCGAACCTACCCTCCCCAATTCTGGGGGACGTGCCTTTCTGTCAAGGTGGACACAACTGATATTCTCTCCTCCCCTGCTGTCTGCAATCGCATCATAGCTGCATCAGCCTTGCTTTCTTGGGCATTCTTCCTGTTTTCATAACTGTTCTTTCTCATTGTTCATCTCTTCGTCTGTTGTATTCTGGCTTCTAGGAACCTCTGCATATGCTTCTTCCATCCCCTCTATTCTCTTTATTCTTCAATTTCCTTTTGGAGACAATGTCTCATGTAGTCCAGGCTGACCTCAAGTTTGATAAGTAGCCAAAGGTGATCTTGAATTTCTAATCCTCTCCACGCCACCTCCCTAGTGCTGGAATTTCAGACATCTGTCACCACCTGGTTTCTGTGGTGCTGGGGATGGAAACCAGCGCTTCACATATGCTAACCAAGCACTTTACCAACTGAGCCACATGCGCAGCCCTTTTTTGTTTCATTCTTTCTCTTAAAAAGAGATTTGTTTTTATTTTAAGTGTGTGTGTGTGTATTTTGCCTTTATGTAAGTGCACTGAGTGTGTGTGTGTGTGTATGTGTGTGTGTGTATGTATCTCCGTCTCTCTCTCTCTCTCTCTCTCTCTCTCTCTCTCTCTCTCTCTGCCCTTTGCTTGTGGATCAGATCTCAGATTAAGTTCTCAGCTACCACTCCAGCACCATGGACTTGCCCTCTGAAACTGTAAGCCAGCCCCAATTAAATGTTTCCTTTTATAAGTTGCCTTGATCATGGTGTCTCTTCACAGCGACAGAACAACAGTAACTAAGGCCCCTGTGAAGCTAGAGAGTGTTGGTGGACTAACTAGTTGCTTGACTAATCTATTTTTACTATCAGCCAACCTGTCATGGGTTGAGGAACCTGCTTACTACAAGTTGTCAGGAGGTAGAGATGAGATTGAAGCCCTGGACCTATCTACTGTTCAGTCCGTGGTGATCCTTAACCCAAGGCAGGGTGTCTCCGTGGTCACTCAAACCCAGAGGTGGGCAGCTCGGATGTGAGAGCAGGTAAGGAGTGAAGACCAAACTCCAGGAGGAAAGCAGCCACCATGCTGCAGTGCCGGGCATGTCTCTGGGAGCCCCTCAGGCCCTATTCACAGCCTGGTGCTCTGGGGACAGGCAGCTCAAAGGGTTTAGCTGGATTTGTGGGGATGAGGCAATGGCTTTATGACCCAATGAGGCAGTTGAAGAAGTCCAAAAGCAGGCTGACCCAGAATCTCAAAACTCCAGGCCAGGGTCAGTGGGAATGCACAAGACAGGGTTGGAACCCATGGAGGGCCATGGGGAGTGAGGCTGGAGGGTGCATAGCATGATGGACTTCACCATAATCCCAAGCTCATGTTAGATGGTAAAGCATGTGCATGTCACCATGGCCACAGGGATTCTTGGGTGTCCACTTCTCAGGCCTGATAGAAAGCTTGGGTCTGTGGCTGCCTTGACCACTCCTCACCTGGGTCCATCACAGAGTCTCTACCCCATTCTCCCTTACTTTCTTCTTACCCCAGTGTATTTGGGTTTGTATTTGTGTTGGATGCTTTTCACAGTCGACTTGACACAACCCAGAATCATCTGGGAAGAAATTCCAAAAGGATTATCTAGATGAAGGTGGGCTGTGGGCATGTTGAAGGGTCCAGACCCTCACCCAGCCCCCTGCTTTGGCAGCCATGACAGGCTGCAGAAAACACCCAGCAAGATCTGCTGCCCCTGACTCAGCAACATGTGTTGAGCTCCCTACCTTCCCTAATTACTGGGAATAAACTGCCAGATACCTCCATGGGGCAAGGAACCAATCAGAAGTTAGCTGGTGGGGTCTGGATGTGCTTTATGGTAACAGTGGAATGCAGAGCTGTAGCAACCACCCTGGGAGGGCCTATAGCCGTAGCAACCTTTCTGCAGCTGCAGTTGACCGATCAATACAGGACAGGCCACCCAAGCCTGGAGGTGCACCAATCCTAAGACTGTTGCTATGCAACTAGCAGAACCCCAGACACTCCCCTTGCTCTACCAGAATATATTCCCTGCTCCACTGCTGTTTGAGGTCATCTGCCTGGTCCTCTGCCTGCTTCACCCACTGTGTTGGATGGATGGGGAAACCAAATTAACTTGTAATACTAAAGACTGTTTTTGCATCAGATAGGGTCTCTTGGTGATTTTGGGATACAGAGTTCAGGCATAATAACCTGTGGGCATGTCTGCTGCATGTCTAGGAGCATGTCTGGGGGCACATCTGTCTGGAGGCATGTCTGTGGGGATGTCTGGGGACATTCTGTGGGCATGTCTATCTGTGGCATGTCCAGGGAGACTATCTTGACTTTCAACAGAGGTGGGAAGTTTCAGCCTGATTTCAGACAGCATTGTTCCCTAGATTGGGAGGAAATGCACAAGGGAGGAATGCTAAATGAGCAAGCCGGCTGAATGAATGTGTTTGCTTCTCTCTGCTTTTAACTGAAGATGTAACGTTGCTTCAGTTTGCCTCACTTTCCCCAAATCGATGGACTATGACTTGGAATAGTAAGCTAACCAAACACTTTCCTACCTCTGTTGCTTTTGGTCAGGATGTGTTATCACAGCAACAGACATGGAACTAACAGTGCTAAAGAGATGGACACAGTTGATGGGGGAGGTCCTTCTGTGTATATGTTTGTCTTATTGGTTGGTAAATAAAGTACTGTTCGCCAATAGGGAAGCAAGATAGGAGGATTCTGGGAAATGTAGTAGAGAGAGAAGTTACCACGTGATCCCGGGAAGGCAGGATGCATGCCGCTGGTGTCCTCGATAAATCTTTATAAAATATATAGATTAATGGTTATGGTTGATACTTAAGACAGAACTAGCAAATAAGAAATCCTAGTCATTGGCCAGCAGCATTGTAACTAATATTAATCTCTCTGTGTTTTGGGGGGCCCTAATGTGGCAGCGGAACTCAGGCGGCTGGCGGAAAGTTATTGTTACACACGGTCCTCAAATTCTTTCTGCTTGCAATGCCCTCATGTATTTCCTAGCTTCCCTCAGATGTCCCCTCGACCATTCTGCTCAAAATGACACATTCATTCTCCTCTGAACCCAGCTCTAATTTTAAATTTTCATCAACACTTTTGCCTTTGGGCATAAACCCCCTTACTGTGTTTCCCACCACCCCGCCAGCTCCTCTCCTTAGACAAGACCTCTAATGCGGAATCTGCGCTGTGCCTCAGAGGCTTGGGTCATGCTTGGAAGAACATGTTGAAATGCACTTGTTCACAAACACATTAGCAGGACAGAGCTAGAGAAAAGGGTGCTGAGAATGTGGAGGGAAACTTGGATTTCCAGGCTCCACTGGGGGTAAATGAGCCCCCACCATCCCTGGGCCTCCATTTCCTCTCAGTACATCCAGGGGTGTGGACTTTGTTCCCAGCCCAGACACTGTGTGTGGCTCAGTCTTTGTCATTCCTCCAAAGGGGAAGTTGCAGATGGAAGCACAGCTCTGGGAGATGAGAGGGTGAGTCAGTGGTTGTGCCGCCCTGAATGGCAGAAGTGGGGGTGGAGAAGAAAGAGCCTGGGGCTGGCTGATGGAGGGAATGCCACAAGGGCAGAGTAGGAAGATGGCCAGCTATTCCATAGAAGGGCTTGGTGATCAAATTTAGGGACGTGAGGATGAAAAGATCAACTTGATTGGAGCCTATGAGATGGAATCTATGGTACTCACAATGGTTAGTTTTAACTGTCATCTTGACACAATCTAGAACTACCAAAGAAAGTCTCAAAGCTGGGGTTGCATAGATGAAGTTGGCACACAGGCATGTTTGAGGGGGGTGTCTAGAGTACCTGTTGATGGGTGTGGAAAGACCCAGTTCACTGAGAGTATGTAGGGCTCCTGAACTGTGTAAGTGTTGACAGTATAGAGGGGAGCTGAGCACAAGTGTGTCTGCATCCATTCCCTGTCTGCCCTTGACTGTGGATGCACTGTGACAGGTTGTTTGAAGTTCCTGCTGTCTCAATGTCCCTTCTGCGATGAGGTGTAATCTGGAATTATGAGCTAAGATCAACCCTTTCTCCCTTGATTTTGGTTAGTTTTTTACCACAGCAACAGAAATGGAACTCAGTGTGTTTGGAGCCCATGCCTCTTATCCAGGTGCATAATCCTACCCTGGGAATTGTCTCAGTGGTGAGCTCATGCATGCACAAGATCCTGAGTTTAGTGCCAGCACCGAGAAAGAGAAGACCTTTGTGAAGCACGGGGCCATCTAGAAAGAGTGGATAATCCTGGGTTAGTATGTGAGAATGTTTAATGCCCATAGTCCAGAAGTTGACAGGTGACCTTCCACACTCAATGCTCACATATACACACACATGTATTCCTGCTTCCGGGAGAGGTGAGCTTTAGGCAGAAGTGGCCTCTGAAGCCATAGTAGCAGCAGCAGAAGTCTTGGTGGCAGAGTGTGAAAGCTGGGTGACTTGTGGGTAGATTCAGCTGGGCTTCTCCAACTTGGAGCTCTCTCATGCATCTCTGGGTCCTGCAACAGACAGGGCCCTGCCCCTTCCATCCCTGCCCTGTTCACACAGGGCCCTGCCCCTTCCATCCCTGCCCTGTTCACACAGGGCCAAGTCCCTTCCATCCCTGCCCTGTTCACACCTAACATCCCCCAGCTTGCCCGACTCACCAGTCAGGATCTGAAGTTGGTGCCCAGCATTGTGACCACAGTCCAGCCCACTGTCCACAGGTGACCCCAGCTTCTGCCTGCCCCTGGCCACAGCACAAAGGATGCTGGCTGTAAGAAGCTTGCTGAAGAGGACACAGGCCAGGAGGATAATGGAAGTGGGTGGGAAGGAGGTCTCTCCTGATTGGCTCCTTGGAAAGAGAAAGAAGATGGTATAATAGAGGTGATCTACTGGATGAAACCTGCCCTTGGAGAGGGAATAGAGAGGAACCAGGAATCCCTGGGGTCTTGGGTGACAGGGAAGGGGCTTTGTGGTGCTCAGAGGAATCTGCAGTCAGTTTTAGGATCTGTTGAGTGCACAAAACATAGAACAGTTTCTCAGGGGTCGTAGAACACAGTGACAAGGGTTCGTAGAACACAGTTCTATATTAGTACATAGGAATGGATGGACCTGCACACGTGCTCAGGGGTTACAGAACACAGTTCTATATTAATACATGAAACATCCAGAATGGGTCCTGGTTCTTCTGAAGAAGCAGAGATCCAGGGACCTTGGTTTTAAGCTACAGTCCTGAGACTTGTTGCTGAATTGCAAGAGACTGTGGAAACTGCCCTTTCAGAATCTTGGAGTGGTACTTTTAGAAACTGTCACAAAGGGCTCCAATTTCTTAAATATCTAAGACCAGTAACGCCGATGAGCTAGTGGGTGGGAGCGTACTTACACAAGACCACACCTGGGCCTTTGACTGATCTGTTGGTCCTGAGACCTCTATTCTCAGTCACTGCCAGAAGTCTGAGGGGGGACCACCACTATACCTGGAGGTGCTGTGTTCCACTTGGACACCCTCAAAACTCTCCAATTCCCCAGGGACCCATAGGTCTTCAGCATCTTGTTCATCTAGAGGGTCTGTAAGAGACAAGCCATGAGACCACTGTTCCTTTAGGCCACTGCCTGTTGGGGAGGGCCATAAATCTCAGGAAGTAAAGAAAACTACAGGGCTCAGGAATCTCATGAAACTTAACAAGATTTATACACATACTCCAAGCCATTACAGCTGTTGGGAAGAGGAGACTCAAACCAGGACCAGCTGCCTACAAGTAGTTCAGGGAGCTCCAGAGATGCAGGGAGCTCCGGGGATGCAGGGAGCTCCAGGGATGCAGGAGACTCCAGGGATGCAGGAGACTCCAGGGATGCAGGGAGACTCCAGAGATGCAGGGAGCTCCAGGGATGCAGGGAGCTCCAGGGTTGCTGCATTTTGGCGATTCAGCTGCTTTGGAGTTGCCCATAAATAAACCCTCTCCCATGCACCTACAAGTAGCCCCAGTAAACTCACTAGTTCACTGAGCTAGACCTGGGTAGAACCTTTTCTTGCTAGTGGCTAATTTGGGACAGGCATTTGCTTATGTCTCCCAGGAAAAGTCACACAAACATGAGACCTGGCCCAAGGACCAGCCAAAGGTGCAGCCATTGTACTCACCTGCCAGCACCTCCACCAGGAACTTCTGGAGGACATCAGCCTCTTGGCCTCGGAGGCTCTGACACTGGTAGAGGCCTGCATCACTGGATTGGAGGTTTCGAAGAGTGATGGTGAGGGTTCCAGCCAGGGTGTCATCCGTGATGACCGTGCTCCCATTCCGTTTCCTCAGGAAGGCCAACAGCCACACATTGTGTGTGCTCACCACGCGCTGGCATGGGCCCTCCTCAGCCAGCTGGCGACACCAGGCCTTTCTTCTTCCCCAGTACTTCAAGGAGTCATAAGTACATGATACCCGCAGGGACTGGCCAGCCACACCCTGCAGCACCGTTGTGTTGAGGGCTTGGGATGACTCTGCAGGGGAGACTGCCACTTGTCACTTCATCCACCCACCAAGTATTCACTGAGCATCTATCTACCAGGAGCAGTACACTATGCAGACAGGTCCCTGCCCTTAAAGAGCTTAGGATGTCTAGGGAGAAGGTGGGGACTAGGATGCTTCCCAGACACCTTTGGAGATAGCTGTAGGGATGCAGGGAACACAGTGAACATGTGGTCATCAGAAAAAGCTCTGGTCCTCAGACACCTTCCACTTTTTGTTTGAAACAGGATTATCTTACCAGTGTGCAAGATAGTTAATGACCATGGCCAAAGTGACAGGCTCTAGAATCAAGGGGGCAAACTTCTGAGCTTATGTGTGAGGGATTTTCTAGATCAAATTAGCCTATGGGAATATTGATGAGAGAGTATCTGGATTCAGTTAATAGGTGTGAGAAGCCCCACCCTGAATATGGGCAGCAACAACACCAAAAGGGGGAAGAGAACCTGGTAGCTGCCTCATCTCTCAGTGTCTTGACTAAGCATGCAATGTAGCTTAGGAGGAGGCAGCCTGTCACACAAGAGGACTCAGTGGTAGTGCCTTCAGCACCACTTCCTGCTCCTGCCACCATGCCTTTCCTCCAGAATGGATTGTATACCCTGGCACTGTAAGCCAAACAAACCGTTCTTTCAGTGAGTCACTTTCGTAAGATACTTTGTCATAGCAACACAACAGTAACTAGTACAGCTCAGAACTTCACAACATAGACCAAGCCGGCCTGTGCACTTGTAAGGATCTGACTGGCTCTGCCTCCCATGTCCCCATCCCTGGGAGACAGGTACATGCCACTGCATCTGGCTTTTCTCATGGGTTCTGTGGGTCCAATCAATACGCAGTCAATATAAGCACTGTGTCGACTAAGCCATGCCTTGTTCTTAAAACCCTCTGGTTCTGTTTTGGACATCTTCCCTCCTGTCATATGGGACCAGGATGTCTTTTTCCCCTCTTCATCTCAGAATGGCAAGGTTAATGGATCCTTGGAGCTCGGCTGGTTCCCCACGGGTCTGGGATCGCCTCCTCCCTTACCCTGCCTCGCTAGCTGCCCTCTCTTCAGCCATCCATACTGGATGGCTCTCCTTTCCTAACCTTTAACTCTCAGCTTCCCTATTTCTGTGGCTCTGTTCCTCTTTTATGAAGGACTTGTCTCAAAGCTATTTTGGGGGAGACATAAGGCTGCTATTTTGGGGATCCTCTTGGGGTAGGGTTGGTGGCCAGGGCAGGGGGACAAAGGTTCACCCAAACTTTCTGCCTCTTGCACCGTGTCTTCAGTTATTACAGAGATGGAAAGACGAAAGGTGGGATCAAGGAGCTGGTGGCCTGCCTCTTGGAATAGACCTCATGCGTGTGTTCCCTCCACACATCAGCACCCCCATCCCTCTGCCTCCAGACCGTCTAAGGTACCGTACATCTCCCGCCACTTCCAGATGCTGCAGGGACAAGACCCAGCGGCCTCTCTTCTCACCCGGGTTTGTACACTACTCTTCAGCTACAGGATGCACCCAGCCCTCAGTGGGAGGAGGCAGCCTGTCACACAAGAGGACTCAGTGACGGTGCCTACAGCATCCTCACCTCCCACTGAGGGTTGAGGTCAAATATGAGAGGGGCTGCAGGTGGATTCAAATCCCAACCCAAGTCTCTCTTCCTTTCTTCCTTCTCTCCCATTCTGCCACTCCACTCAGGCTTGAGCGCCTCTTGAGTGTTTAAGGGCTCCTAGCAGTGCTTCCACTGGTCCCCCACATGACAGCCAGCGCCACCCTCACAACTCCTTCGGTGACCAAGTCCAGCAGCCCCTTAACCCTCCCTACACATGGGGGTTTATCCTGGGGAGGCTGCTGTGAAGAACACGGGCCACTAGGGAGAAAGCAGAGCCAAGTAGGACTTGAGCATGCAGGACTCTGGCCTCCTTTACAGTTCCCTCCATAACATCCACACCCCCACCTGGTCATGTGCTCAAGGAGGCATTGTAGAGGGCAGGTCCCACCTGTGATCAGCAGCAGGAGAAACAGGTGGAGAGGCCCCATGGCTCCCTTCCTCAGCCAGCCGGAGAGGACTGACAGATGAGGGGAGGTTCCTTGTGCAAGATCTCTTCTTTCCCTTGAAGTGCAGAAAAGAGAGGACCAAGCCAGTCAGGCGCAGCCCACAGGAACTGTGCTCCTAGATTGAGCAACAGTCAGGACTAGGGTAGGCACTGTGATTCAAGGAGGGAGAGGGCCTGAGGGAGGGGATAAAAGGAGGTCTGCCTCCTGAGATGCTGGCCAGGGTGGCCCTGCATGGCGGTCACCAGATTTTAGATTGTCCCATCTCCTTGCAGAACCTCATCTGGAGGTTACAATCTGCACACTGTAACCAGGGTCCCACCTCTCCCTAGAAGACAGCTGCTCCTTACAAGGTTGGCATGTCACCAGCTCCTGATCATGACCCTATTGGGTAAGGCAGCAGCTAAGGACATAGACCAGAGCCAGACTTCCTGTTTGCTATGTGTATGCTCAGGCCTGCAATCTCTCTGTTTTTCATTTTGTGCATCTGTAAGATTGGTGATAAGCAGGTTTATCAGGGGCTAAAGAGATTTCTTACAACCAAGGGTCCAGATGCACAGAAGCCCTCCGCAAGTGTTCACTGTGTCTATTAACCCAATCGGCAAGGGGTGGGAAAACAGGCAAGCTCTGAGTGTGTTTCAGGGATCCCAGGGGGAAATGTAAACAACATCTATCCCCTCCTCCTTAGGTCTCAAGGACAAACCAAAGTAAGATCCATCAAAGTTCACCCTGGGGACCTGTGGTAATTTGGATGAGAGGAGTCCTGTTTTAGTCAGTGTTCCATTGCTCTGAAGAGACACCATGACCAAACCAACTACTTTAAGAGAAAGCATTTAAACGAAGGCTTGCTTACAGTTTCAGTTTAGTCCATTATCATCCTGGTGGGAATCATGGCAGTATGCAGGTAGGCACTAGAGCAACAGCTGAGATCTACATCCTGATCTGTAGGCAGAGGTGGCGGGCAGGCTTGGCATGGGTTTTTGAAATCTCTAGCCCACCACACTTCTCCAACCAGGTCTCACCTCCTAATCCTCCTAATCCTTTCAAATAGTGCCACTCCTTAGTGACTAAGCATTCAAATATATGAGCCTATGGGGACATTCTTATTCCAACCACCATACTCATAAGCTCACATGTTTAAATATTTAGTCTCCAGTTGGTGGAATTGTTTGGGAAGGATTAGGAGATGTGACCTTGTTGGCAAAGGTGTCACTAGTGGGCTTTAAGGTTTCAAAAACCCATGCAATTCCCAGTGAATTCTTTCTGCCTCATGGTGTGTCTCAAGATGTGAGCTTGCAGCTGCTGCTCTAGCGCCATGCCTACCTGCTTCTGTGCTCCCGCCATGATGGTCATGAGCTCTAACCTTCTGAAGTGTGAGTCCCAAATGATCTCTTTCTTCTTTAAGTTGCCTTGCTCATGGTATCTTATCATAGCAATAGAAAAGTAACTAGGACCAAAGTTGATGGAACTATCTATCTCTTCAGCCCCCAACTGATGAGTATTAGGCTTACTGACAGAGCATGAGTGAAGAGAGGGCTATTGGCAGGAGCATGGTGACCCTAAAGTAGCTGCACTGGAATATAGTATGGATGATGGCTCCCTTGTGATTGAATGGGTGGAGCCTCTCCCCAGTAGACTTTCCTCAACCTGTACACTATAATCCCTCCCCAAGACTCCAGGGCCTCGTGCAATTAGGGCAGAATTGCATAGAGGTGGCTTGGAGGAGTGGCTGGATACTTGGGTGTGCCTCCATTGACCCTTCCCACCCCTCCTTCTATGAAGATGTCAGCGATCTCCAAGTCCAGCCATGATGGACTCTACAAGCAGGCAAAGCTTATCTGAAGAAGATGGTAGCTGTTTTGCTCAGAGAATAATTCCCTCTTTTGTTTGCCCTCAGACTTCCTCCTCTGCAGATCTTAGTGTCCCCAGTGCACACACATCCACACAGCCCAGTCTTGTACTTCTGACCATCCAGGGGGACAGACCTTGCATTTCCTGGAGGTCCAGAGGACAGGGATCCCCGGGTGGGGGTCCCCCATGAAGGATGCTCCAGGTACAGTCCTGCATATGTACAAAGGTGGCTGTGAGTCAGGGGTGGAGCTCAGGGGGAGCTGGAGGCATTCCAGCCTGGAACCAAGGCAGCCAGAGGTCCTGAAGAAAGAGGCTGGGAGCCTGCAGGTGTGTTACCTGGCTCCTGTTCTGGCAGAGTTCTCTCTCCGTTCTCATGATTGTGGCTGCTCATTCCTCCTGTGATGGGCTATGTGACAGGGAGTACACCTGGAGGTGGGAACTCCTGGGGAGTAAAAGACTGTACTCCACAACAGGACACACAGCCCAGCACGGGTCTAATGCATGGAGTGGCCATGATTTTAATAGATATATGAAAAATATGCAATAAGTTAGAGCACCATACTTCACTTGTCTTTGTCGTGTGTGTTTGTGTGTGTGTGTGTGTGTGTGTGTGTGTGTGTGTGTGTGTGTGTGTGTTTCCTCGGGGACTATCCACCTTATCTTTTGAGGCAGGGTCTCTCAACTGGCATGGCATTCATCATCTGGGCTACATTGTCTGGTCAGTGAGCCCCAGGGATTCACCTGTCCCCACCTGCCCAGAGCTGGGATTATAAATGTACACCATCATGCCTGGGTCTTTCCCCCTCATGCTATGACTGCATCTGACTTTAATGATGAAAGAGTTCTGTTACACACTTTTACATTCAGTGGATAACGACGTGTTTAATGATACATCCATTCTGACAGGAAATATTTTTAGCATATTAGCCCTTTTAAATGCAGTTACTTTATGAGTTTTGCAACCAAGACCTATCTGCCCCTTGTTGCACATTTTGTGTTCGGTGTGTCACTCACCAAGTATCTTCTTATGAGACAATGAGAAAGACATTTTGTGTTCGGTGTGTCCCTCACCAAGTATCTTCTTGTGAGACAATGAGAAAGGCATGCGGGTTACACCTGGCTCTATGCAGGCTCTGGAGACGGAGTTCAGGTCCTCATTCACGAGGACAGAGCCGTCTCCCAGCCCCCACAATGCCATATTCATTTTATAGTTTTAAGAAAATAGGGTCACAAACTAGTCAGCACGACATCTCTGCGCCTATTTTAGTCTCTGGTTCCCTCTACTTTTTTTTTCTTTCCTTGTGCTTTATCTGCTAAGGAAACCAGATGGTTCAGCCAGCAAGTTCCCCACAGTGCTGTGCTGACTCACGCCCCCAGTGTTGCTCTCTGGCCCTGCTCCTCACCCCCTCCCCCGCCCCAACACTTCTTAAATTGACCTAACTGTGGAGGCTTCGAAGATCTGGCTTGTGAACACTTCACAGGTTGCTGGTGGCTCCCCAAGGCCTCTCTGTGAAGCAGCAGGTAGTGCTCAAGTCATTAGAGGCTGTGTAAACAAATGCTCCTCACCTCTGTGAGACATGACCTGCTAGAAAAGCAGGCAATGGGGGCAGGTGAGATGGCTCAGTGGTTAAAGCAGTGACTGTGTGAACTCGATGTCCTCAGTTCAATCCCTGGGATCCACTAGAGGCCTCACACACATGCCCACACATTACATAAATAGACATTAATAATAAATGACTTTATTTTATTTATTTATTTATTTATTTATTGGTTTTTCGAGACAGGGTTTCTCTGTGTAGCTTTGGAGCCTATCCTGGCACTCGCTCTGGAGACCAGGCTGGCCTCGAACTCACTGAGATCTGCCTGCCTCTGCCTCCCAAGTGCTGGGATTAAAGGTGTGCGCCACCAATGCCCGGCAATAAGTGACTTTTTTTTTTTTTCAAAAAGAATAAAAGGAATAACATTAGTTGTTTTAACTTATTGCAAATGAGGACATAATTATCTAAAGAAATCCTTAAATGTAGGTTATATTCCATTTTCAGACATTAAATATATATACAGAGAATCTATCTATGTGACTTTTTTTTTTAAGTGACAAAAAGGCAGAAGAGCAGGCTGAGGTGCATACCAATAATCCCACCCTGGGGAGACTGAGACATAATGAGGCTCCACCTCAAAATAAAAGACAAAAGGTGTGCTTCATTCCCTCATTTATAAACTGTCTTTGTTGTTTGTTTGTGCTTGATTTTTTAACAAAAGTGTACCATTTTATTGGAACTCTAGTTGTCATTAATATCCTTTACTTTCACACGGGTATAAGTGAACAGTTTAAATAGATTTGATACATTTAAGTTCATTGCTATAGATCAGATTGGCCTCAAACTCACAGAGATCCTCCTGCCTGTCTCAGCGCTGGGATTAAAGGAGTGTGCCTCTGCTGCTGGCATTGTAGTTGCTGCTTTTGTTGCCATGGGAATCACTCCGTCTGACCCTGGTTAGTTCCTGAGTCCTTCTGGCTGATGTAAGCCCCCAGCTTCCTTGCCTTGTAGTATGGCAACACTTTTGCCTTAGGCCTGGCTTGTCCATTTCTGGCAAGACTTGGGTCAGTCCATTTTGGGGAATGCTGTTTCAATGTTTAGTGAAAGTCAGTCTTTCAATGCCAGGGCAGTGTCTTGTGTCCTGTGGCTGTGATAAAATACTCAGACAAAAGTATCAAAAAGGAGAGAAGTGTTATTTGGCTCACAGCCCCAGATTAGAGTGCATCATGGGAGGAAAACACAGCCACGTAGGCTTGAGGGTTATATCACAATCGAAGATAGACCCATGAGAATCTTCTGGTGCTCAGCCCCTTCCCTGCTTTTGTTCGCAGTCCAGGACTCCAAGCCCTGGGAATAGTTTGGCCCACAATTAAATGTAATTAAGGTGATCCCCCACAACTGGACTCCAAGGCCCATCTCCCAGGCAATTCTAAATTCTATCAAGTGGACAGTTAACACTATCACTTGTTGAAGCACAGGCCTGCAATCCAAGATTGCAAGTTCAAGGCCAGCCTGGGATGTATAGAGAGGAACTGCCCCAGAAGAAGAAGAAGAAGAAGAAGAAGAAGAAGGAGAAGGAGAAGGAGAAGGAGAAGG